TCTCAAGATAAGATAACAGTGAAAATATAAAATGCAGAAATTATTGATAGTAATTGTGAAAATGATGAAAGTTGATTCTTAAGACTTTTGATAATCAATTCTCTGATAAGATTGATATGTCCAAGTGTGAATCATTTGAGAAATGTGGAAAATGTTACTTACAATGTTGCAAACAATGAAAGTATCATGAAACACAAAATTTAGTTATGAAAGCAAATACAGCAAAAATTCCTCATTTCTCCGCATCATTTTTTGTTCGTCAAACACAAATCAATTAATTAACAATATTTGATTTCTTACTAATTACCTAATTATTTTTTATGTGAATCATCCTTCCGAATTTCATAAAAAAAAAAGTTTATGAAAAAAACTCTTAAGTAGCTGTTTCACAGAATAAAAAAAATACGTTTACCCTGTAAAAAAAATAAAACAATTAAATTTTCCCTGTCATAGTTCCCTAAATTTGTGAATTTTGTAAATAAAAAACTCGAGATATTTTTTCCCCCCACAAGAGCCAGCGACACATTTTGAACCGAAGAAAAATGCTTGACAGTCATTTATTTTTTGTTCGATAACAAAAAATGAATGTGAATTATCCTCACGTGGGCCCCTGAACTGGCGGAAAATTTGGTGTAAAAATATTGGTGGAATTTTTTTTATTTCCGGTGGAATGGGTCAAAGATTAGTGAAAATAACAGAGGGAAAGACAGGGGAATTTTCAGAAAAATGGACGGGTGAATTTTCAGAAAAATGGACAGGTGAATTTTCAGAAAAATGGACAGGTGAACGTAGACAGGGACTGACAGGTGGACAATATAAGGAGCTGATGGAAGAACAAGTCACACCCTATAACATATTAACTCAGGATTAAGTCATATCCCGTGACATATCCCGTGACATATCCCGTGACATATCCCGTGACATATCCCGTGACATATCCCGTGACATATCCCGTGACATATTGACTGTCACTCACACTCTGACACCGTGACAGGGGGGACCAGTCACGCTTCGTGACTGGTCGATCAAGGACACACACATAAACTCACCATAACATCATCTAATTGATAAGAAAGATAATTAACAGTGATTAGATTATCGGATCCCAAGGTTAACAATTTGTTATCAAGTGCTTGACGTCTCAATTGATAGGAAATGCTTAAGTAGCAAAGAGAGTATGATAAGAAACTGTACCTTCACTGCCCCAACTGTGCAGTCACGGTGACAGTGAATAGCTTAAATAACAGGTGTTGAGCACATATATAGTGCAGTGACTACAGTGCCTCACTGTACTTAGTCGCTCTAGAATGTTAGCAGCGCATGTTAGGAACTGCGCGTGAGTCAGAGGTGATAAAAGAAGTCTACAGTGCCAGCAAGGAACACGGCACTGTGCCAAGAGATCAGAACACGTAGCAGTGCCAAGAGATCAGAACACGTAGCAGTGCCAAGAGATCAGAACACGTAGCAGTGCCAAGAGATCAGAACACGTAGCAGTGCCAAGAGATCAGAACACGTAGCAGTGCCAAGAGATCAGAACACGTAGCAGTGCCAAAAAACTTCCAGCGAGAACGCTGAACGTGGCGTTTAATTCCGAAACTATTCGACGTTCACCGTCGTTAAACTGCGTTTAGCCAATTAACGACGGTGAATTATAACACCCCCCCCCCCAACTGTGCCCAACTAGAGTGACAGTGAACACGGTACTTTACCCGCTATCACGGTTTATTTGAGGTCCGACCGGCTCCGCTATCAAGAGTTAGCGATGATAAGTTGAGAGTGATATCACTGTCTAAAGGCTAGACGGGAGATAACGACGGGAGATGCTGTCAGTCGTCTCTCCGCCGCTCTACCATACGTTCCCGTCTCATCCTCCTTCTCCGTTCCGGGATATCATCAGTGGGGAATCGAGGAATTGAACTCAGACCACTGAAGCAGCAAAACGAGTCTGACTCAGGTAAGAAAGAACAGCTACACAATGTATCTTGTCCTTCCTGGCGCACTAGGACTATATCCAGGGGTTAATCTACAACCATGTTTGGGTCTGATAGCTGAGTGGACAGCGTTTCGTCTTTGTAGTCCTGAGGTTCCGGGTTCGAGCCCCGGTGAAGGCGGAAACAAATGGGCAGAGTTTCTTTCATCATGATACGCCTGATTACCTAGCAGTAAATAGGTACCTGGGAGTTAGACAGCTGCTACGAGCTGCTTCCTGGGGGTATGTAACAAAAATGGAGGCCTGGTTGAGGACCGGGCCTCGGGGACTCTAAGCCCCGAAATCATCTCAAGATAACCTCCCAAGAAGATCTCAAAAAGATGTTATATATATAAATTCAATCAATAATATCGTGCCTCATAAAACAAGCAAAAGTTTGTTTAAAATTTTACACCCCAAAGGTCGTTTCAGAAAAAAAATTACAGTAATTAACATCTATATTTTTAACTGTCTTATTCATGAACTGCTTAAAAGTGCATGTAACTCTACTGCAGAGCTCTGTAATATATGCCAAATTCAGACGAGGAGTCACAATAACGTGGCTGAAATATGCAACCCGTTCTCGCAAATTTAATAAGTCAATATTGACTTATTACATATGTGCATAGGTGACATACTTAACATAATAGATACCCTTAAAAAGATTCATAGAAAACACCGACCTTACCTAACCTACTTAGTATGTTAAGATAAGCATCTTATTGCTTCGTAATTACAATTATTACCTAACCTATAATAGGTATAGGTTAAGTAATAATTGTAATTACGAAGCAATAAGATGCTTATCTTAAGATACTAACAAGGTTAGGTAAGGATGGTGTTTTCTATGAATCATTTTAAGGGTATCTATTATGTTTAGTATATCACCTATGCACGTAGTTTATAAGTCAATATTGACTTTACGAATTTGCGAGAACGGGTTGAAATATGTTGACCAAACCACATACTAGAAAGTGAAGGGACGACGACGTTTCGATCCGTCCTGGATCATTCTCAAGTCGAAACGTCGTCGTCCTTTCCCTATTTCCTTCTTTCTATTCTTCCCTATTTCCTTCTTTCCAATCTTCACTATTTCTCTCTTTCCAATATTCCCTATTTATCTCTTTCCAATCTTCCCTATTTCTTTCCAATCTTCCCTATTTCTCTCTTTCCAATCTTCCCTATTTCCTTCTTTCCAATCTTCCCTATTTCTCTCTTTCCAATCTTCCCTATTTCCCTCTTTCCAATCTTCCCTATTTCTCTCTCTCCAATTTTCCCTATTTCTCTTTTTCCAATCTTCCCTATTTCTTGACAAGTCGATTGTCGAGACAATCGACTTGAGAATATCATGTCGATTGGTCCAGATCCAGGACGGACCGAAACGTCGTCGTCCCTTCACTATCTAGTGTGTAGCCTGGTCAACATATATGCTAAATATTGTTTCATTTCTCCAGTTCTATACCCAAAGCAGCTCCTTCATTTCCGCGTGGTTGCTACTATATGTCACGCAGGCAAATATCTCCAGCAACAAATGTGAATAATTCGTATGATTTACGACGCTGTCAAATAGCGCCAGATGTAATACATTATTTCACCCCTCTTGACAAGTAACCAGTTGTCTCAGTAGAGGGAGCTGAGATTATAGAGGCAGCTGAGATTATAGAGGCAGCTGAGATTATACAGGAAGCTGAGATTATAGAGGAAGCTGAGATTATAGAGGAAGCTGAGATTATAGAGGGAGCTGAGATTATAGAGGAGGCTGAGATTATAGAGGAAGCTGAAATTATAGAGGGAGCTGAGATTTGAGGGAGCTAGAGGAAGCTGAGATTATAGAGGAAGCTGAGATTATAGAGGGAGCTGAGATTATAGAGGAAGCTGAGATTATAGAGGGAGCTGAGATTATAGAGGGAGCTGAGATTATAGAGGAAGCTGAGATTATAGAGGGAGCTGAGATTATAGAGGAAGCTGAGATTATAGAGGGAGCTGAGATTATAGAGGAAGCTGAGATTATAGAGGGAGCTGAGATTATAGAGGGAGCTGAGATTATAGAGGAAGCTGAGATTATAAAGGAAGCTGAGATTATTGAGGCAGCTTCCGTTATCTACAGATTCCTCTCAGATAGTTCGCTCTAATGCTGGTCTTGAATAAGTTCCTAAAATTAAACGACATGAAGGATTTTGATTCCTTATTTTCGATTTTTTAAAATCAAAAAGGATTTTGATTTCTTATTTCCAATCCTTCAAAATCAAGAAGAATTTTGATTCCTTATTTTCGATGCTTCAAAATCAAGATGGATTTTGATTCCTTATTTTCGATTCTTCAAAATCAAAAAGGATTTTGATTTCTTATTTTCGATCCTTCAAAATCAAGAAGGATTTTGATTCAAGGATTTTGACTCAATCATTTTGATTCCTGTTATAATCTTCCTTCAACAGGAAGCCTGTTAGGCTTCCATTGAGAAAGTTTTCATTGATTATCAACGAGAAAATCAGTAGGAGTCATGAAAAGGATTCGAACCTGCGCTCTCGATACTCCTAAGCAAGCGCCTCAGACGTGGTCAAAAAAATAAATGCAACTTGGCACTCCACTGAATCCTCTAGATATTTTTTTTAATTGATACATCACGTTAATGGGATTTCATTGTGCATCTATTTACTATTAGGTGAACAGAGACAGTAAGTGAAAGAAAATGCTCCTAACGGTCTCTGTTACAAAGGCAACTGCGCTACAGAACCTGTGAACCTTATTTTTGGTGAAAAGGTGCAGTATAAAAGCAAAGGCACGCATGCATTGCATCTTGCTTGGATTTTGTATCTTTGCAATAAATGTATTTCGAGATATAAACATTTTTTTTCCTTGAGACCTAACATGAGTTACTTGAGTCAAGACTTACAAAACTTCAGCAGATGACAACCCAATATCACCTTTCCGTAATACCACGAACAACTTCTCTTTGGAGGTAAAACAGCTTTAAACTATCTTGAAAGTAACTAATGAGTGTTCAAACCGTTTCCTACAGATCAAATGAGGTCATGGCTGCCTTGATAACCCCAAACAACAGCTCAGAGATCTCCCAAGAATGGCTGGAGATCATCCTCGGAGATTACGAGTCTAGAACTCGACCAAGATCAACCGTTCATGTTACTTCCTTCAAGGTCAACCCAGGTCAGTTAATCTCTGCTACTTGAGCCAAGTTCCTTGTGATAGATGCTGGTCTTGAATTAGCTCTTAAAATACAGAGTTCAGAGTTTGTTACCTAGCACTAAAATAGGTACCTGGGTGTTAGTCAGCTGTAACGGGCTGCTTCCTGGGGGTGGAAGCCTGGTCTAGGACCGGGCCACGTGGACGCTAAAAAGCCCCGAAATCATCTCAAGATAACTTCAAGATAGATAGATTTCGTAGTTCTTACGATCAACCGTAAGATTCTAATTGGTTATGCGTAGCCTGAATCGTAAGAGTCTAAGCGACCCATTTAAACTATCGAATTAGACGCTCATTAATTAGAAATAGAATTAATAGCATGGTGTTTTTAATTTCACTTGAGCACAGGATTTTTTTCTATGTTAAGGTTAAAAGCGTCAAAATTGATGTGTGTTAAATTGGCTCGAGCTAGAGTGGACTTTGTCACAGTTAAACTTGAAACAAGTCTTAGACAAGTATTCAAACGACAGATTCACCTTGATTGTTATAATAATTAGTACTGCACGAAGATGGCCATTACGTAGACAGCCAATCAGATCCCAGACATTATCTTTCTTAGGTAATCCATTCTAGACCAGCTATTATAATCTTTCTATATAAACACTTACATCAGTTTTAGAATTAATGTAAACTCTCAAACATCAAGGTACTCAAATTCTTATACGCGAGTGTTGACTCATGTAGGAATAATAAGGAACGACAGTGGTGATAAAGCTTCAAATGTGCCCAACTAAATATAGAAATGAAAACATTCACATACCACATAGTCTAGCAGTGACTAGGGGAACAGTTAAAGCAAGAACAATGCAGTAGATGTACAGTGAGAACAATGCAGCATTTGCAACGTCAGGGTCTGCAAGATGATACAAGTATTCGACCGAATATGAATTATCTTATTTTGGTGAAAAGGTGCAGTATAAAAGCAGAGGCATGCATGCATTGCATCTTGCTTGGATAACCAGAAGCATGGGAAATAGACTCACAAGTTCCAGAAGAAGAGAGGAAATGTCTATATATTGGAAAAATGCCCGACAAATCACTGGAATTTTATCTAACACACTGCACAGTTACTAACCAAATCAGGTTTTTACTGTGATTCAGCAAACCTGAAGACACTGTAAATGAACAAATCCACAAGGGCCGTGACGAGGATTCGAACCTGCGTCCACTGTGCAACATGTTGAATATAATCTTACTAAAGTCAGCATATGAGTAATAAACACTCATCCCCAGCTTAATGGGTAAGACTGATATGAGTAACACATTGCATGCCATCCAAAGGCTATTAACCTGCGCAGGTCCCATTACATGCTAATCAAAGTGGGTCTCATGACTGACCGATTACATTCTCAAAGTGGGTCTCTTGAATGACCCATTACATGCTATTCACCACTAATTAACCCATTTTGCATGACTAGAACTTTAGCAAATTAGTCAACTGCAAGTTGAATTTTAGTATAGATATCTGTAATAACTAACTATGAGTTAGCATTTTAACAGCAGACAGGAATGGAATCCAGTCTTGTTAAATTCAGTGCCTGCATTTAGGAAGAGCTACACATTACTCCCCCAACACTAATTATTGCTCCCAATCAACTACCAGTTGATTGACAGTTAAGAGGCGGGACCAAAGAGCCAGAGCTCAACCCCCGCAAGCACAAATAGGTGACTAACGTTAGTGGATATCTAACAAGCTATCCACTAACTTCTACCATTTGAAATACATTGACACGAAGCAAATGGTGTAGTAGACAGGTGTTTCAGGATGCTAAACAAATGCTGTTTAATTACATTCATCTGGGTTCTAGGAGACTCGAACCTTGAACCCCCACTTGTGTGAGGAGTTGTATAATTCTGCTGGACTAGACTCGAGCACCTGATGCGCTGCCTGGTTCAAGGAGATGATTGAGGAGGACTCCTAATGGTGACATGAAGTCATTTTAACATTAGGTACCAAGCCGGGTGAAAACTTCAGCTCGGAGCTGGTGAAGTTGGAGGTGGAAGCGATGGTGACAGGTGACAACATCACCACACCTGCTCACTATAGCTTAGTAGCCAAGTTCCTCAGCGGTGAAGCTTTTGTTAGAGAGAAGGTGAAGTATGTCAATGGACACCTGAGGGAGTTTCTTATCTTCTCACAGATAATCTCAGAACTGAATGCCTTTCAGGCCAAGTTAGCAGGCAATAAATATCGAATAGATATCCCTGCCTTCGTCTACGGCAGGAGTTCTGACGATGCCCACGTGGTGATTATGGAAGACCTTCGCCCCTTGGGGTACGAAACTGTGGACAAGAGAGATGGTCTGGACCTCCAGCACGCGCTTATGGCCGTAGACCGTCTGGCCAGACTCCACGCCGTCTCGTACGCCTACGACAAGACCCACGACTTCATAAACAACTTTCCCATTCCAAAGCTCACTGAAAACTATCCTAACATGATGACATCACTTATGACTATTGTTCTAGAAAACTGTATAAAGATTGTTGAGAATAAAGATAACAAAAACTTGACGGAGAAAATAAAAGCGAGCAAAGAAAATTTACTAACATTGTACGAGTCTCAAATGAAGAACCAGGATGTTCAAAATATCATTTGCCTCTGTCATGAAGATTTCTGGACCAATAATATGATGTTTAAACACGGAGATCGGACGCCCGATGGTCAGCGAACTATCGAAGGCATGATGCTTATCGACTGGGAAGCTGCACGCTGGCACAACCCGGTGCTCGATCTCCAGTTTATGGTCCATAGCTCCACAACACCGGCCCTCCGCAAGGTCCACCTCGAGGAGCTCCTCCAGCAATATTACTCCATCTTCACCGCTGCTACAAACGCCATGGGCGCCGAAATCGCCAACTGGAACTACCAACACTTCAAGAAAGAGTGGCGGAGCGCTGGGCCCTTCGGCATCCTCTCCGGACTATCGCTCAGCCTCTTGTCGCTCAGCAAAACAAGTGAAAGCATCGCTGACACCTCAGCTGCGCCTTCTGCCACCATGGCTATAGTCAAGTCTTGGGCTGCGAAGCTCCTGGTACCTGTCTTGTTGCAACCTCAGCTCCAGTTCGTAACGCGTTTCGTTATGAGGCAAACGGTCACCCCGATGATGCTGGAGATATTGAACGGTAGTAACGAACGGCTAACTACTCGTCTCTACGAACTTCTAATGGAAGCTAATGATAATGGAGTCTTTGATGGTCTCTTGCCATCACGCGATGGAACTTTAAATGGAGTGTCAAGTGCTGATGATTGAACTGAAGGAAAAGTTCCTTTTTAATCTTATCAGTTACGGTCAAAGTGAATGAATATGAGTGTAGATATTATCAAAGTGAATGAATATGAATGTAGATATTATCATAAGCGTTGGAATATGAGTAAAGATATTATCTTAAGTGTACGAATATGAAAAAAGATTTCGTCCCATTAAATGAACCAATCCACAAGGGCCGTGACGAGGATTCGAACCTACGTCCGAAAGGATCCCAGACGCTGTCGTAATCGACTTAGCTATGGTCCAACACGTCTGGGATGCTCTCGGACGCAGGTTCGAATCCTCGTCACGGCCCTTGTGGATTTGTTCATTTGATGCATCACGCAATTGTGATTTATGTATGTAATTCGGTCCCATTGTTTGAATGTGAATATAGATGCTGTTAATTTAAAATTATTAGTAAAAATATGATCTAAAAATAGAAAAATAATAAAAGATATGTTTTAAGTATCAAAATATGAATAAAGATACGATCTAAATGTAGGATTTTGAATAAAGTGAAGATCTAAGAGTAGGAAGATGAGTAAGGATGTGCTCTAAGAAGAGGAGAATGAGTAAGGATGTGATCTAAGAAGAGGAGAATGAGTAAGGATGTGATCTAAGAAGAGGAGAATGAGTAAGGATGTGCTCTAAGAAGAGGAGAATGAGTAAGGATGTGATCTAAGAAGAGGAGAATGAGTAAGGATGTGCTCTAAGAAGAGGAGAATGAGTAAGGATGTGCTCTAAGAAGAGGAGAATGAGTAAGGATGTGCTCTAAGAAGAGGAGAATGAGTAAGGATGTGATCTAAGAAGAGGAGAATGAGTAAGGATGTGCTCTAAGAAGAGGAGAATGAGTAAGGATGTGATCTAAGAAGAGGAGAATGAGTAAGGATGTGCTCTAAGAAGAGGAGAATGAGTAAGGATGTGATCTAAGAAGAGGAGAATGAGTAAGGATGTGCTCTAAGAAGAGGAGAATGAGTAAGGATGTGATCTAAGAAGAGGAGAATGAGTAAGGATGTGCTCTAAGAAGAGGAGAATGAGTAAGGATGTGATCTAAGAAGAGGAGAATGAGTAAGGATGTGCTCTAAGAAGAGGAGAATGAGTAAGGATGTGCTCTAAGAAGAGGAGAATGATTAAGATGTATCAAGAAGAGGAGAATGATTAAGATGTATCAAGAAGATAATAATATATTACTAGCTTCTTGCTTATATAAAAATATACATAGATATTGTTAATGGCGTCGTTAATAAAGATGTGGTAATGTTTACATTCATCCAATGTTTCATTCAACACAAGTACTATTCTAGTACTATTCTAGTACTACTGTTTTTTGTTTTTGTTTTTTTTGAGATATATACAAGAGTTGTTACATTCTTGTAGAGCCACTAGTACGCGTAGCGTTTCGGGCAGGTCCCTGGAATACGATCCCCGCCGCGAAGAATCCTTGTTACAACCAAGTACACATTTTACTGTCGAGTTAAACAGAGGCTACAGTTAAGGATTTGCGCCCAGTAAATCCTCCCCGGCCAGGATACGAACCCATGACATAGCGCTCGCGGAACGCCAGGCGAGTGTCTTACCACTACACCACGGAGACTGTAAACTACAACTACTATTCCTACGGTGCATTTCACAGTAATCACTTGGCTCCTGAAGAGAGGCCAGGCAGCTCTACTCAGCCTAGTTCATGTTATATGTTTATAAATCAGCAAAATA